CAGTTTATATGTCACAAAACACACTTTGACACGCTAGATAGAACCTCTAAGAATATTACAAAAGTATTAAAAAACACTTTGAACGCTTGCAGGAAGAGAAACTATTGAACCAGTAAATTGTAGACACAAAGGTTATTTTTCCTGTCAAAACACTGCACGAAGCACTACGTAGTTCCCAAACTTTGCACCAGAAGAGAAAGACATATATTTATCCTTGTCTCTCTTATGTTATCTATCCTTGTTTTTGTTTGATTCGATCCCGAGAGATGGCGCTACCTACCCGATAGCGTAGCGATTGAGTAGGCGATTGAGTGGACTTTTGCCAGCGGTTCAGCATCCTCTTAAGATCATCAGCTACTTCTCTAATCGTGATTCGACGATTTTTCAACACAATTTCTTTCACTTTCTGAACATTTTCGTCGATTTTTGACGTGCTGGGGCGTTCAGAGCGAGGTTCATCGTTAACATTTTCTCGGCCCTCTTAGAATAACTTATACCATTTATAAACATTTTTTTTGCTCAAAGTTGACTCACCGTACGCCACTGTCAACATTTCAAGAGTTTTTGAACACTTAATACCATTTTTTACACAAAAATTAATACAAACTCTCTGCTCTATTATTTTCAACAGCAAAAAATCGCCGAGCACGCAAACACGAGTCTAATCTTTATGCCTCTCACATAAAAACAACACATTCTATATAGTCAAAACTGTGAACATATGATCGTGACGAGTGTACCAACACTTTTTGATCACACTTCGTATATACCTCCAATAGGCAAATTGTGAAATTATTGCACAAATATGACACCACGAGTGACGACGATTTCTTGCATTTCTTCATATGCAATCATATTTCTACATATTTGAAACATCACATAGCTGAATTTCTTTTCTCAATTATTGGACAACTTCTTTGTGAATCTTTGTGAAATTAATTTTGCAAATATACTGCTAAGATAATTCGCCATATCGTTATTCTTTTGCCAAAATAGTATTTTGGAAAGTAATTTTGCAAACGACTACAAATATTTTAGAAAAGATCAATGTTTTTACATCTATNTCNTAAAATATNTCTGTATAATTGCAAATTACAATTTTAGTGCAAGATTTTGTCACATAATTTTGTAAATGGTTTCCTATCAGGGAAGTTAAAGAGCAAAAGAGTTTGAATTCAACAAGCAACACTCCCTCAGCATGTTGAAATTGTAGTTTGTCAAGTATAAGTATATATGTATCATGCAAAACCTCCTTGTCCTTCATCAAATTCAAACCATGCTCCTGTTTTTTAATGTATAACATTCCAGAGGTTTGTCGTTTATAATTGTTCTGTTCTATGTCTAATATTTTAACAGAATTCCAGTCAAAACTATGCCCTGTAAATTTTTTCTGTGAAATTGTGGTTCAGATAAAAGTATAGCTCTATTGACAAGTGAGTATATAGTGAGTATATAGTGTCTATTTTATGGCTAATCAAATTTTGTGAATGATAATTTATCGGCCAGAATAAGTTGGTTTGTGATACCAATCGCAAATTAACCTGTTGTTTTCTATGATGATTGATATGTCGAGAAAGGTGAGAGCATTGTTCACTTGTAGTTTACATGTAATCTATGGAACAAATTAAAAGTGTGTACAGTGGTGGAAATTTGTTGATATTTTAGCAAGACAAGAAAAGGCAAGATGGGGTACCAAGTATTTTTAGTATTCATCTTATATTGCTCCACATAGACGAATAGATATAAATAAAAATCTAAGTTTACAATTGTTCCAGAATGATAAGAAACTACAAACAAAAGACGGAGTGAAAAAATTGATTTAAAAAAACCGCAAAACGCGGTTACTGCTGTTTTAGAAAATAAGATGTGTTATTATTAAAATGCTCGTTCCTCGTGTGCAAATATAGAAGATGATGATGATAAAGTTATACATGTGTATTGGAAAAACAAATTTTGTTCATATTAAGGAATATCTGTCTGTTATCTAACAATTTCGAAGCATACCAAGCTAAAATATAGAAGCATTGGTTTAAACATCGGAAAACTTAATTTATGCAATAGCAACAAGTGTATTTTTATTGCATCCTCGCGAGTACCAATTTCTCGTTGTTGTTGCAATAGTGTAGAACAAGTTTGCAAACGTTTAATGAAATTCTTGATTTGCCGGTAAAAATAAACGTCGCAAGGTTGACAGANAGGTGTGCATTTTGGAGGGATTACTTTTATAAAACACGACGCCTTTTCTGCTTCGTCTTCGAAAACATCGTCGTATAACGTCGTATCCGTTTGACCTCTCCATGAATCGATTAATAACAAAAATTTATTAAATAGTAATGATGTGTTGAGAATTGACCTCGGGTTCAATGTGGAGAATCCACATCCGCTACAACCTTCCTTAAAAACAATCCAGAAATCATGTTCACAAGAGCAGACAAGGGTAACTTCACTATCGCTATTTTAAAAAACAAATACATTGATAAAATGAATACATTACTAAATGACAAAAACACGTACTTACAAATACAGAACAACCCTATACACAAAATTGAAAGCAACCTAAAAGACATTCTAACCAGATGGTTCTTAAAAGGTTACATAGAACAGAAAATAAAATTTCATCTCCAATCAAGTGACTCCTTATTACCACGAGCATATGGAGTACCCAAAATACACAAAACAGATTGTCCATATAGAATAATAGTATCAACCACCAACAGCCCTCTCCACTATTTCGCTACCTATCTTCACAATATTATAAACAAGAGCATCCCGACATCTCCATTTTACATCAAAGACAGCTTTCACTTACATAACTTACTTTCAGGATTACACATTGATAACAATTACATATTATGCCCATTGGACGTCACATCCTTGTTCACTAACGTACCAATTGATCTAGCAATAACAAGCGTAACCAAAAGATGGAGATATATTAAACTACATACTAAAATAAGCGAACAAGAATTTATATCAGCAATACAATTCGTCTTGTCAACATATTTCTCTTTTAACAACAAAATATATAAACAAACTTTCAGCACACTGATGGGATCACCACTCTCACCTATCATCGCAAATATTACCCTTCAGGAACATCTTGAACTAAAAGCTCTCAATACATTAACTTTCAATATACCATTTTACTATAGATATGTTGACATTGCGTTATCAATTCCCTCAGATCAGGCAGACAATCTCTTGAGTGTGTTTAATTCTTACCACGATAGACTAAAATTCACGTTCGAGAAACAACAAAATGGTCTCAGTCTCAGTCTTCTTGACATCAACATAATATTAGAACAAGGAAGGTTGACTTGTGATTGGTACCACAAGCCAACCTTCTCAGGTAGATATCTAAATTACCTGTCACAGTGCCCGACCAGTCAAAAAATAGGAACAATATACACCCCCGATAGCCAAATAATAGCAGTATGCCAGCAGTATGCACACAGGTTTAATCAGCACTTTGCAGCAGATTCCACTCAGCTGTGTCATCATAGTGAGTGAATTATGTAGGCACGATACGTAAAGAAAACAACACAGCAAAAATATAGAAATAAATGAAGAATGAAATGACAATAGCACGTTATGCTTCAAATCTGCTACATTTTTTGAGCAAGTTCTGCTTGATTGATGCAATAATATTTGCATCACGGCATGACATATTTATATCCTTTTTTTTTTCTGTTTTTCTGTCGACACTAGTTGAAATAACAGATTATTGAATGCTGGCTACATTGTACTGGCATAATGTGTTATTGCAGACTTTGCAAAATATGATCACTCAGTCTTGGTTATCTGGGATCTTAACAGACAGAGCAATACTATTATCAGATCCTAAATTCCACAAAAAAAATATACAGTTAGTGATAAACATCTTAATCAACAACAATTATCCAATAGAACTAATATTCAACACAATAAATAGAAGACTGAGAACGCTATTTTGCACAAAGCTCAACAGGCACGCCAAACCGATACTCGAACAAGAAAGTGAACCTGTACATTATTTTGTAATGCCATATATACCGAACACATCTCAGCCTATTAATAATATCAAAATGAAAAATACCAGAATATTATCAGCATATAGAAATTTGAATCGACTCTCAAAATTTATTAGAACGCACAAAGATCAAATTCCACAAAACAAACAGAAAAATCAAATGTAACATGTGTGACAAATGTTATATAGGCCAAACCAAAAGACAACTCCTTATCAAGGTAAAAGAACACTCCAATAATGTAAAAAAAGGCCATACTGGAACGTCCGTAATTGCCAGACATTCAATAGAACACAATCATAATTTTGACTGGCAATCTATAAAGATTTTGGATGTCGAGTCAAATTTCTATAAAAGAATCACATCTGAGATGATTCACATAAAAATACATAAAAACAACATAAATCTAATGACCGATACAGAAACGCTTGATGACATATACTTACCATTATTAGATAAGATCACGAAAGATAGTACATAACTTTAATTTAATTACACACACATAGATGGAGTAAACACATACACACACAATCTTCACAAATAAGAGTGACACACACCAGTCACAGACAACACATAACACCAGTAACAACATTTTATATTCAAATGACATAGTAAAGATTGTTCACTTTATCATCTAATTTAATTGACTCACTTACATATTTTTAACTTATTTTTTAATTTATTCAATTGGTACGTATATATAAAAAAAACAATTTTATGTAATAATGCACTCAATAAAAAGTCGAAACGTTTTGTTATAAATCATTCTACATCATTGCATACAATCCTGCGATCGGTTCGACGTAGCCGTTTATTCCAAAAAATTTATTAGTTTCTACATACGGAAATAAACAATATTTGAGATAATCAGTATATATTGCCTTCGTCAATTTTTCCGACGTGGAACACGTTACAAGCACGTTTTGATATTTATCGGTTAAATGATCGACTTTTTTTTGCACCTAAGAACCACATCGTCCCGTTTCTTGCATGCATAAAAATACTACAGGTAATATCTTTCCCGAAGCAGTAATAGAATATTGTGCTGTGTATAAATGCGAAAGATTATGCAGACTTTTTTTTTGACAAGAACGGTTTTTGATCCTTGTGGTGCAAGCGTTCTATCATAAGTCATTTGATACTGACATTCTGTCTAATCCGTATTAATAACCAGATCTAAATTAAACTCGGACATAATTGCCTTCGTTTGTATTTGAAACCGTTGTGCGGATTCTAACGTTTCCTCCAAAAATGCACAGTCTCTCTTACTCACATATTTTGTTATTTTTCGTTGTCTAATTTTATATATTTTTTTAAATCGGTCAGTCCAACTATCGCTGGCAGAGAAGGAGAANTGTTCAGTGATAAACGGAAACGCTATCGCCATTGCCCACTGCTGCAGAGTTCTCGTAATTATCTGAAATCCGATATTATATACAAGTCCTAAGTTTGGAATTCTTCTATTATAAACACATATAGTGTAACATACCTGCTCAAAACACTCTCTTGCTTCTTGAAAGTGTTCGAATGTCTGCGTTTNTATGTATTTCCATTTATCAACTGATGTTTCTCCTCGTTTCACGTCATCTTTCCATATACGTAACATTCTGTGATTTTTTAATTTATAGCAACCTTTCTTTTGTAAATTTTTTATGCTTCATTTTGAATGCATTTCCGCTAATGCAACCACTTTTTCTTTATAAGCTAACGAAATATACTTATAATCGCGAGGGAGATGTATTTCTGGCTCGTATGCTGGACTCTCTCTAAGTATACACTATACAGGTATAAAATATCACATTGTTATAACAACTTCATTGATTCGAATAATAAACCGATTCACAAATAACAATATTTGAAAATAGCAAAACTGTAAAACGTACCTCCGTATATTCTTCTATATTCATAACATCAGTCTCTTCCTGTAGTATTAAATCTTCATCATGAATAATTGTGCGCTCTTGCAACATACATACTATCTCTTTAAAGATTTCTTCGCTCATAGCGATGGAAACAGCTGAGACTTCTTTTGACGATGTGTCCGTTAGTAAATTTTCTGCTTTTAGCAAACTCTTGCAATAAATGAGAGCGTTGGTTAAATTGTCTCTCATTAATTCTTCATCGTTATGTAGGCTCGCTGATTCCGAGCTTGACTCCGAGCTCGAAATATTGTGTTCCGCACTAGTGCTTGGCTCATTTTTCTCACTGTACTGCACGATATGTTCTGAACGCTAGTTCTTATTCGACTACGACTAGTATATGATTGTATATATACTTGTATATGATTTCACAATACAGATGGCCTTACCAAGAAGAGATATTGAAGATAGTCGACACTCGTCGCGACAAAAATAACAATCTCGGCAAGAGTAAATAATAATTTAAAATGTATTTATTGCGTAACACATAAATTTCAAGTATAATGGTTATTGCATAACATGTTTATAAAGTGAAATTACACAACATTTAACGCATTAGAAATAAATAAATGTAGTGTTTCACTTTTCCGAGACAAGACGAGATTTGAGTTGATCTCGATCTCGTCTCGAAAAAGTCTCAATAATCACGTCTCAGTCTCGTCTCAATTGATCTCGTCTCAGTCTCGTCTCGTAATCTCGATGCGCCGCACGGCGGGGGTATCGTAGTGTAGAGCTGCGTTCCGTTTCACGCATATGCGCGCATGTATCTATAGTACACGTTACGTATAGTATAGATAAATGCGCGCATATGCGTGAAACGGAACGCAGCTTAGGAGGGGAGCTGTGCGAACGAGTTCAAACTTGTCATTCGCCAGAATGCCCAGTTTTTCATTTGTTATCGTCATTTGTTTCTGCTG